ATATTACTAAGTAAAAGAAACCAATCTGAAAAGGCAAAATGATACAAATAAGTAAAAAGATCAGTGATTGCCAAGAGTTAGGAGGGAGGGAGGAGTAAGCAGAGCACAGAGAAATTTTACCGCCATGAAACTACTCTATATGATACCAGCTAGTGCTCGACTTACGACCATGGTCGGGACTGGCAGACCGGTCGTAACACGATTTGGTTATAAGTTGAGTAGGCTATATGTACAGTTGAAATGGTGCACGCAGAGATGGTAGTGCTGCTGGAAGCTGGTCCACACTGTCGTACGCCCAGCTGGGCAAAGTTGGCGCTGCCAGACGTGGAGCAGTCGTGGCTAGCGATTGTGGTCATAAAGTCGAATGGTCGTAAGTTCCATAGGTCGTAAGTCGATCAATACCTGTAATATAGGGTGGATACAGGCCATTATACATTTGTTCAAACCCATTCAATGTACAACACCAAGCATGAACCCTAATGCAAATTACAGACTTTGGTGAGGATGTGTCACTGTGGGTTCATTGATTCTAACATATGTACCACTCAGGTGTGAGATGTCAATAGTGGGGAAGACTCTGAATGTGTTGGGGTGAAGGATATGTGAAAATCCGCTGCATTTTCTGCTCAATTTTGTTGTGAACTTAAAATTGCTCTAAAAAATCAGTTTAAAAATAATAACTATTATTACAGATGTTAATTGTAGATCAAGAATGTAAAACTTCAGCCTCTCTGAAGTAGATTTTGCCTAGGAAAAGTATTTTCTAGTACTTTGTGCTCTCGAAATTGGAAGTGGGAAAATGAAGATTTGGGGAAATACGCTAGACAAAGGACCTACGACACTATCTCCAGTGCTCCATCCGCTCCGCTGCCACAGTGGTAAGCTCAGTTGGAAGTTAGAGATTTCTATGTATTGAGTGCCACCTCCTCCTGCCAGGCTCTTGTCTGTACTCGCTTCCCTTCCTGTTGGCACATACTCTCAGTAGTTAGAACACAGGGTGTGGTGAGCTTGTGTTTGTTCTTGGCTCTTTGCAATTCTAAAGAGCAGAATTGACTTCAGAGTAGAAAAGCTGAGGTCAGCATTGCACACAGATGCTGCCTGCCTCCTTCTCTGATTCCTACAAAGTATGTGCCCCCAGTGCTGGGGAAAAGAATCTTTCTTCCAAACTTTTCTCCTTTTTTGAGTTAAACTAAGAGATTATATTCACCATTCATGGAGGTTACTCTGGCTGGGAAATAGCACATAAGTATCTGAAGACATTCTCTGGCTTTGCTTATAAAAAGAGAATTAATTGCCCTCTTCTCATAAACTAGATGAATATTGTTGAAATCATCTCAAGGTACTTTCAGTAAAAGTAAAAGTTGTCAGCTTTCAATTATCTGCTGGTGGCTCATCTGCAGCGTTTCAATGTCAGATTAAATTTAAAGAAAGAAGAACAGCTGGACAAGAGAGCAAGATTTGCATCATGATGCACAGCCACACTTCTAGCAGTGTGGCTTTGGTTAAGTGATTCACAATCACGAATCAGGCTTTCCTATCTGTAAAGGAGGAAATGCCATGAGGTTTTTTGTTGTTGTTGATTCTTTTTTTTAGCAGAGTCTCGCTCTGTCACCCAAGCTGGAGTGCAGTGGTGCAATCTTGGCTCACAGCAACTTCCACCTCCCAGAGTGCAAGCAATTCTCCTGGGTTAGCCTCCCCAGTAGCTGGGATTACAGGCATGGACCACAATGCCTGGCTTTTTTTTTTTTTTTTTTTTTGGTATTTTTAGTAGGACAGGGTTTCACCATGTTGGTCAGGCTGGTCTCAAACTCTTGACCTCAAATGATCCACCCACCTCGGCCTTTCAAAGTGCTAGGATTACAGGCGTGAGCCACTGCACACGGCCTGCCCTGTCTATCTCATACTCTGAGAACACATCCAGTTCATGGTCTGGCCCACAGGAAAGGCTCACTAAATGAAGAGCTCTTGCAATTCTTTTAGGTTCCACCTTCTGCACCAAATCCTAGTCAAAACTATGCTCTAGTAAGAATTCATTTTTGATATTATGAAGTGATAAGTGCTCAGAATTTCTTTTTTTTATTGAGACAGAGTTTCGTTCTTATTGCCCAGGCTCGAGTGCAATGGCACCATCTCGGCTCACTGCAACTCTGCCTCCCAGGTTGAAGTGATTCTCTTGCCTCAGCCTCCCGAGTAGCTGGGATTAAAGGCACATGCCATTGTGCCCAGCTAATTTTGTATTTTTAGTAGAGACGGGGTTTCTCCATGTTGGTTAGGCTGGTCTCGCACTCTCAACTTCAGGTGATCCACCCCCACCTCCGACTCCCAAAGTGCTGGGATTATAGGTGTGAGCCACCACACCCAACCAATGCTCAGAATTTTTAAGGTGCAGAGAGAATAATAAATTGCTTACCTAGTTGATAGTCTTTCACAGGAAAGTGATCTCCTAGGGGTTAGGTGGACTTTTCCTGGGTAATTATATAACAAAGGCTAGAATCCAGTGCTTCTGTTTACAGGCCTCTTCCGCAGTGACATACCACTTACCAACTCAGTAGCTTCTCTCTCTGTCCAGAGGCACCCAGGAAACTTCCCTTATACAGTAGTGTTCTCCATATCTGAGGTTTTGCTTTCTGTGGTGTCAGCTGCCCTCAGTAAACTATGGTCCAAAAATATTAAGTGGAAAATTCTAGAATAAGCAATGTATAAGTTTTAACTGGCCTGTTCTCCTGAGTAGCATGTTAAAAATCTTTCAAGTCTTTCATTGTCCCACTGTGTCTCTGCCCAGAAGTGAATCATCTGTCTGGCGTATTTCCACTGTATAGGCTACCTGCCCGTTAGATACTCAAAAGCCCTCTTGAGTGTCAGAGCGATTGTCCCAGTATTGCAGAGCTTGTGTTCAAGTAACCCTTATTTTGCTGAATAATGGCCCCTAGTGCAAGAGTAGTGAGGCTGGCATATTGTCATTATTTTATTTTATAATTAGTTATTGCTGTTAATGTTACTGTACCTAATTTATAAATTAAACTTTAGCAGGGCATGTAAGTATAGGTAAAAACATACTGTATATAAGGTTTGGTGCTATCTGTGGGTTCAAGCATCCACCAGGGGCCTTGAAATGTATCCCCTGCAGGTAAGACAACACTACTGAATATGCCACAATTGTCTCTAAAATTACTGTTTGGTTATGCTTGGCAGGGACAGAGTGCCCTGTATCACAGCACATGCCAGCGCCATTGACATCCCCCACCAGCACTGAGCTCCACACTGTACCTTCTACAAAGTCACAGCCTTGAATTAGGTAACACAGTCTCAGATTTCCGTGGTAAGCAAACCCCTATCAGCTGGGAGATATTTCCACTATTCTTTCTGCAAAAAGCCACAAAATAGGGAAGGGGAAATAGGGAAGGGGAAGGGGAAATGCTGGGTATAGAACTGGGTTATTTTCATTGTGACATGATAATGAAGCACAAAGACTGGGGAGTCTCCTTCCAGGTCACTGAGGGATGTAGGACTGGAGGAGCCACACCCCTGGTCTCACAACTGAAAATAAATTTCAGCACTGGCAAGGAACCCAGAAGGCTGACCCTCTGGAGCAGTGGTTTGCTATCCTGAGAGTTGGGCAAATGTGCCTAAGAAGCCACCAAAGGAGGAAAGTGGCTGAGCAGCCTCTGAGCCCCAACCCCCCTCCGCCGCGCTCCCTGAGCAGTTCCACTTTTATCTATCCTATTTACTGCTATTCCGTTTAAAACTTCATTTGAATAAAGACTTTTGCTGCCATATATGCATGCCCACACACTTTCACACATATATCTGTTTGCTAGACCTTTTCTTTTTTTACAGCTTACCTTATTTTTCTACTAGAAAAAATATGCAAAACACAAGGGTCATGTTTGGCTTAATTTATATCCTATGAGTTCAAAGACAGCTGCTGTGCCCTGGCTGAGAGGAGAAGGAGAGAGTATCTGGAGAAGTCTACAGCTCTTAGAGAATGACCGGCTTCT